TTCCTGCTAATGTTTAACCTAAAGCTAATCATGACAAACCCAAATTGAGGGGCATTCTACAAAACAGCTAAGTGGCCTATACTCTTCAAAAATTTTTTGTCTTTCATGACAATGACATAGCTGAGAAACCATTTTTTGTATTAAAGGACTGGATTCTGGATTTTAAGAAATTCTTATAAAGCACAGTATGGGAACAACTGGTGAAATATGAATATGGACTGTATATGAAAGAATTCAGGAAATTTATATTACCTAATATAGTATCTTATCAATGTTAAATTTCCTAAATTTGATAATTGAGTCTTCTAGTTTTGTAAGAGAACGCCCTTGTTCTTAGGAGATAACTACTGAAATATTTAGGGCTAAAGGGTTTATGAGGTCTGCATTTTAACTCTCAAATGGTTCCACAGTAAGAGGAATAGTAGTAGTACTAGTAGCAGTAGCAGTAGTACTAGTAACAAGAAGAAGAGGAAGAAGAAATAGAAGAAATCTAAACAGAGAAAAATGAGACAAAATATTAACAATTGGTGAATCTCAACGAAAGTCATGCAGGTGTTCTTATATTGGGTTGGCTCAAACGTTCGTTAGGGTTTTTCCATTATGGAAAAACCCAAACGAACTTTCTGGCCAATGCAATACTATACGTGCAATTTTCTGTCATTTAAGTTTTTTTCAAAATAAAAAAAGGCAGAAAAAGAGGTCGCTTTTGCACTGCTTTCGAGCCAAAGGATGCTCACCTCTTCAATAGCAGCATCCTGCAGCAAAGAACGAATGTCCAGACGCATCATATGACGAGGTGCAGTTTCCCAGTGATCGGCCATCTAATTGAGAGATTCAGGAGGTCAAGTTATCTCTGGAAACTACTCAAAGACCAAGAGAATATCCAAGACAAATTTAACTAATACCATGAAGTCTAACAGGCTAGTTCCAGGAAGAGCTAGGACACCTCGTACCCTTAGATACAAAGGGTAAGAAACATTTACTAAAGCAGGTAGAAAATATATTTTGAAAGTAAAGGGGATAAATAAGAATTTCTAGACAACAGTGATGAAACAGGCAAAATGAAGTTTAGAATATTACACCCTCTGTGCTTCAAAAAAATCACCTTATTTATTTCTTTAAGCTTTCTTCCATGAATATTCCTCTTGCTACAAGTCTGGTTATCTGCACTCATTTCAGCCAAATACACCTAAGAAAGAATGAATAATGATTAGGCAAACAAATGCAGCACTTACATGATAACATAAAGTACTCTAAAGTTCTTTTAAATCTATACCTCAAATCCCTTGGTTTTTGCTGCACTCCAAAACTGGTCAAAATGTCTAACTCTGTCATTGATGGCATCCAGGATGATGAAAGGGAAAAAGCCATCATCCAGAGTCTTTTTGAAAGTTTTGAACATGCTGGTGCGGTAGGTTTCCTCCATCTCAGCTTCATATTCATATTCCATTACCTAAGATCCCCCCAAAGAGATATGGAGTTAGCAAAAGCAAAGAATCATGTTAAATCTCTGCCCTCGTTAGCATTTGGATAGAGACAACTTTCTAGTCTTTCCTTCATACCTGAGTACTAAAGTTTGTGTTCAAAAAAACCACATTTCTCTCTGAACATGTTTTCCTTTCAATGCTATTTATGAATCAGGATGTAATCTGAGAGGAATATACCATACCTTTTTTTTCACTTTCTTTCCAGAATCTGGATCTTTTTCTTCTTTTTCCACTTCAGCGATGAAGTAATCATCCAGGCTTAGAACTCTGGGTGCAGGTCCTCCAAATTCTACCTCCTTATCCTAAGAATCATATATTCAAGAAAGTTAAAGAGAATTTATGGAATAAGTTAATAAACGTGCACAAAGTTTTCCCTGTGGCTAAATACCACGCAATCTTCTTGTAGTTTCAAATCAAGCAGGGGCAAAGTATCTGCCTAAGCAGATCAAAATTTATGATATAGCATCTACCAGATGGGCCAACTAGAATGGATCAAATGGGAAATATCTGTATCAGTATCATATTACTTGCTAAGAAGGCAAGTGGCTAACAAAAGCAACTGATTCTTTCACTTTCCCATACTCACTCGAATAAGTTTTGCAACATGTGTCTTTCCACTGCCAGGCAATCCTCTCATTATAACAACAATCTGAAACACAATGAAAAAAAAAAAATCACCCAGAGAAGATTTTATTTCACAGTGAGATCTTAGAGTTAACAATGACCTATCATTCTCCAGGACAGACCATATGATAAGCCATGAAACAAACCTTAATACATTTGAGAGCATAGGAATAATACAAAGCATGTCTCTGACCACAATGGAGTAAAATTAAAAATTTGGGAAATTCACAAGTATGTAGAAAGTAAACACCATACTTCTAAATAACCAGTGGGTCAAAGAAGAAGTCAAAAGAAAATTCAGAAAATACTTTGAGATAAACAAAAATGAAGACACAACGTAAGACAGTGGAAGAACAAACTAAACCGAAAGCAAGCAGAAGGAAGGAAATAGTATTATTAGACCAGAAGTTAATAAAATAGAGAACCGAAAAACAAAGAAAAATCAATGGAACCAAAAGCTAGCTCTTTGAAAAGAGCAACAAAATTGACAAACCTTTAGCTAGACTAAGAAAAAAGAGAGAAAATTCAAATTACTAGAATCAGAAAAAAAGAGGGGACATGACTGCCAACCTTACAGAAATTTTAAAAGGGTTATAAAGGAATACTATGAACAACTGTATACTAAAAATTAGATAAATGAAATGGACAAATTCCTAGAAAGACACAGACTACTGAAACTGACTCAAGAAGAAATAGACAACCTGAATAGACCTATGACAAGTGAAGAGATTTAATTAGTAGTCAAAAAACTGCCAAAAAAGAAAAGTCCAGGCCCAGATGGCTTCTTCACCGAATCCTAACAAACCTTTAAAGAAGAATACCAACTCTTCACAAACTCTTCCAAAAAACATAAGAGGAAGGAACAATTCCCAACTTATTTTATGAAGCCAGCATTTCAAATCAAGCATATAATCTGATACCAAAACCAGATAAAGACATCACAAGAAAATTACAGATATCTCTTAGGATTATGGATACAAAAATTCTCGACAAAATACTACCATATTGAATCTAGCAACATATAAGTACACAACATGACCAAGCAGGGTTTATCCCAGAGATTCAAATTAATACCTGAAAATCAGTTAATGTAATAATTATATCAATGCAATAAAAAACAAAAAAATCTCAATGCAGAAAAAGCATTTAACAAAATCCAGCATCCTTTCATGATAAAAACATTCAACAAACTAGGAATGGAAGGGAACCTCCTGAACTTGATAAACGACATCTAATGAAAACCCACAACTAACATAGTACTTAATGGTGAAAGACTGAAAGTTTTCTTTCTAAGATCAGGAATAAAACAAGTATGTCCACTCTCACCACATCTATTCAACACTATACTGGAAGTCTAGCCAGAGCAATGAGGCAAGAAAAAGAAAAAAGCATACACATTGTAAAGTAAGAAGTAAAACCATCTCCATCTGCAGATTACATGATCTTATAGATAGGAAAAATCCTAAGGAATCCACTAAAAATCTATTAGAACCAATAAATGAGTTCAGCAATGTTGAAGGATATACAATCAATACGAAAAAATCAATTGTATTTCAATACAACTGAACAATCCAAGAATGAAATTAAGCCATCTATATCTTCCTTTTTTTTTTTTGGCAGCACCGTGTGCCTTCCAGGATCTCAGTTCCCTGACCAGGGATTGAACTCAGGCCACAGCAGTCAAAGCGCAGAATCCCAACCACTAGACCACCAGGGAACTTAAGCCATCTATATCAATAATAACATTACACGTGAATGGATTTAAACAATCCAATTAAAAGGCAAAAATTATCAGACCGCATAAAAAAACATGATCCAACTATATGCTGTCTATAGGAAACACTTTATTTGTGTCATTGAAAGACACAAATAGATTGAAATTAAAAGGATGGAAAATGATATATCAACAGCCACAGGAAAGCTAGAGTAACTATACTAATAATAGATGAAATAGACTTTAAAACAGTGACATACATACATATACAGAGTCAAACTTCTGATGGAAATCTCCCGTTTTATTTAAATGGAACCATTTTATTTAAATGGAATCTAATTATTTTGCAATATAAGATAAATTTAAGAATGTATACATATGGAGGAAAATAGGTCTAAACTAATCAAGTCTCCTAATTCTCCCTCTTTTAGTTCCACATACCATAAAACCAAATCCTCTTTTCCCTTCTTCAAATTGCAATTAATTGAGTTCTTATGAATTATTTTCTAAAATTTTCAACATTTTTTTCTGCCAAGCAATTAAGCTCTAATTTCTTAGATCCTATAGGGTAGGCAGTTTATGAGATTTTATGATGATTTGGAGATGCCTTGAATCTGATATTAATACTACGTCACACATGGAAACAACCTAAATGTCCATCAACAGATGAATGGATAAAGAAGATGTGGTATATATACACAATGGAATACTACTCAGCCATAAAAAGAATGAAATAATGCCATTTGCAGCAACATGGATGGACCTAGAGATTATCACACTAAGTGAAGTAAGTCAGAAAGAGAAAGACGAATACCATGATATCACTTATATGTGGAATCTAAAGTATGGCACAAATGAACTTAACTACGACACAGAAATAGACTCACAGACACAGAACAGATTTGTGGTTGCCAAGGGGGAGGGTGGGGGGGGATGGACTGGGAGTTTAGGATTAGCACATGCAAATTATTATATACAGAATGGATCAACAACAAGGTCCTACTGTATAGCACAGGGAACTATATATATTCAATATCCTGTGATTATTAGCTGAATCACTTTGCTATATAGTAGAAATTAACACAACATTGCAAATCAACTATACTTTAATAAAATAAAGTAAAATTTTCTTAAAAATTAAAAAAAAATACTACGTCACAGAAAAGTACAGAAATTCTGTTCAGGATACTAAAAAGATTTCTTATCAGCTTCTAATTTGCAAGAAAACTAGTCATTTACATAGGACTTACTCTCTCAGGTCTGCTCTCTCGGCCAGGCGGTTTCAAAATATCATCCACATTCTTAGATTCAGGTTTCTTCTCAACCCGCGGAGCTGGAGGTGGCTGGTGGCTTAGTGAAGGAGCTGGCAGGGGCATTCGCTCCTCTGGGTAAGTTCTTCGTTCTCCTAGGATTCCAGCAGTTGAACAAATTACTATTTATACAGTAATTATTTAAAATTTTAACTCTCTCCACTCCTCCTAAGGTAATATAACTTATGGTGATTTGGGGGCTACTTTTATCCTTAATTAGAGATAGTTTAAGATAATGTAAACCTACTGAAATCAAGAAAATGAAAAGATTTAGGTATGATTTCAGGCAAAAAGAATGTTATGAAAAATACTGAATTCATCCTTGTTTGTATTAAACTTAGGGAAAAAGTTAAGCAACAGAACATAGAAGAATAACATGTACTCCTGAATAGTCCTGAGTATGATTTATAGTCCGTCTGTATGTAACTTCTGCTTTACAATTTTGAGAATGAGTCACCAGCTTAGGAAAGCTTGTTTGTATAAGCAGGTGTGAATTTCTAGTTTAAGTGTAATTTATAACAGTGAAAAACTAAAAGCAACCTAACTGTCCAAAAATAAGAGTCATATATCTCATCCACTTGATGGACTATCATAGAGCCATTAATATAATAGGTTTATGTATGGAAAAATGTATACAGTACACAATATCAATGGGAACAAGCACAACAAAGAAACTGTATTTATACTTTGATTACAACTTCATTAATACGTGTGTGAAGAGAGAATGACAGAAAATATACCAAATTATAAGAGTTGTAGTATGGTAGGTGGTGGGATTATAAGTGATTTTGTTTCTAGCTTCCAAAATTTCTTTAATAATGTAAAAAAAGCAATTTACATTTTATTTCATCAATTACATGGCTATTTTTGGTGATAACGTTGTCATCTCTGAGAAATCTGTGAGTGCATTTTACTCTGAAAGTTTAAATCCATAACTACAACTTAAATCCATAACTAGCATCTCATGTTGTTTTCAGTTCTCAGCATCTTTATAGTTAACAAGGCACTAATCTACCTCCAAACATGGACGGTCCTTCATAGGCTGGTCGGTCAGACTTCCGATCATAGGATGGCCTATCAAATCCCCCTCTTCTGGATGAGGAATGGTCTTTTTTGTCTCGATACGACTGAGTCCTAGAAGGTTTAACAGGAAGTGCTTTGGTAAATAAAAAACATATGGAGGTCTCTTATAATGCAACACCATTATCTGCCCAATTTTTTCTATGGGTACTTACTATACATAGTCAATACTTATATTTTCATTTTGCTTTCCCATTTAGATCTGCCTTGCATACACACATCCACAGAGCTCACAAAATGCAAAAATAAATTGTTTGCCTATTAAGTGAACAATGACTACAACTTTGTTAACAATACTCTTTCCTTTCCTTTCTGGCTATCTCCATCTCCCATTTAACTCTCTGGAATTCAGGCTCATAAAACTCAACCACCTAGTTTCCTGAAAATTGGTACTCTTCCCTCTCCAAATTATACACACACATGCATGAGAAAAATACATCATTTACTAAATTTCCTTTAACTACACTGACTTTTGCTGAACTTAAGTATATGGTAATTTGCACACCTGGCAAAGATATTTCTCATAGCATACCTATCATCTCGAGGTCGGCGTTCTCTGTCAAATCGATCCCGGTCATAGTCAATAACACCACGATCCCGGTCTCGATCTCTATGTGTCTCCCGATCCCTTTTGAAGTCTCGATGATCTGCCATGACATTACTTTGACGATCAAAATAAGGCTCACGATCTCTGTCTCTATCATAACGATCTCGTTGGCCTACATGCTCTATAAAAACAATATAAAATAAGAACTATATCCCTTTTTTTCTGAAATAAAAGCAGAAATGTACAAATCTAAATTTAGAACTAGTATAAATTGTTGCCCTAAATTCAACTTATAAATAAATCTTTTAGCTATATTAAAGGGAGGCCCACATTCTAAGAGGTCTTCTGTGAGCTGGCCCCTGCCTAACCCTAGTTCCCTCTCTGATCTCACCTCCTACTACCTTCCCCATCTATTTGTGATGCAACCACACTTTCCTGTTCCCGAGACCTACCTACCACCTGCTGTTCCCTCTGACTGGGACCGTCAGTTTGCAGATGCTTCATGGTTGACTCCTTGTCATTCAGCTCTCAGCTTCACTGTCACAGGGGCCTCTTCTGACCACTCTGTCTAAATTAACCACCTTCACTATCCATCACATCAAATGTTTCATTGTCTTTATAATATATTCAAAGGTCTGAAACGATCTTGTTCATTTATTCTTTTTGTTTGTTTTCCCATTAGCATGTAATTTCACAAGCACAGAAACTTTTATTTTTCTCATGTTGAATTCCCAGTGTCTAGAACAGGGATTAGCAAATTTTTTTCTGTAAAGGGACAGACGGTAAATTTTTTATAGGACATACAGTCTTTGTCGCAACTACCCCAGCTCTGGTTTGTTAGCATAAAAGCAGCTGTAAACAATAGCTAATGGGAGTGTGTCTGTGTTCCATTAAAACTTTATTTCTGGGACTTCCCTGGTGGCACAGTGGTTAAGAATCTGCCTACCAATGCAGGGGACACGGGTTCGAGCCCTGGTCCGGGAAGATCCCACATGCCGCACAGCAACTAAGCCTGTGCACCACAACTACTAAGCCTGTGCTCTAGAGCTCATGAGCCACAACTACTGAGCCTGCGTGCCACAGCTACTGAAGCCCGTGTGAATAGAGCCCATGCTCCGCAACAAAAGAAGCCAATGCAGTAAGAAGCCCGCGCACAACGAAGAGTAGCCCCTGCTCGCCACAACTAGAGAAAGGCCGCACGCAGCAATGAAGACCCAATGCAGCCAAAAATAAATTAATTAATTAAAAAAAAAACACAAAACTTTATTTCTGAACACTGAAAAAAAAAAAGGGAGGCCCAGATAATCTTACCAAAAGGGAAATCATATGATAATTGGGTCCTAGAAGGTTTAAAAATACTGATCTCTCTGGGACTCCTACCTGTTTCAAAAGTTGATCTTTCAGGTAGTGGATCTGGACGCAGAGTTATTCTTTCTCCATAGGGTATCTGTTCAACTTTATTAGTGGATATGTCTGGTAAACAAAATCAGGGATAAAAACACTGTAAGAGTGAAGCTTAAGGAAGCCAAAGCTGAAGCTGACAATTCCTTTAGAATCCCAAATACAAATTTGCCATTTTACTCACCTCGGCCATGGCCATAATCGACAGTCTGCTGCACTGGTGGTGGTTTGGACATTGGTGGCATACCCACAGGCACTGGGCCAGGAGGAGGGATGGAAGGGTGAACAGGTGGGGGTGGTAACACTGGAGCAGATGGAATCGTTGCAGCTTCAGGTTTAAACTCCGAATTCAGTCCTTGTTCATCATTTGTATCCCAGAGGCCATAGAAAGAATCTTCATCCCAGCGTTCTTGTTCCATAGCTGAAGTCTGTGGCTTTATCACTGGAGGAGGAGGTGGCGGCGGAGGAGGAGGGGGTGGCGGTGGCGGTATTGGGATAGGCGGCCTGGTCACAGGAACAGATGATCTTGCTGGTGGAGCAGAGGGTCTTACAATTGAACCTGGTGGTTTACCCATAGGAGGGGGTGGTCTATAGGACCCTGGAGGCTGGAGAACAGAGTAAATAGCTTAACGAATGAGCATACCATCATGTTTTCACATATCAGTAGAAATTAAAATCCGGTTCTCAATCCATAGAAGAAAAATTTGATATACTGAACTTACTCAAAATTCAAAACTTTTTGTACTTTAAAATACACCATTAGGGAGAAAATATGTGCATATCACCTATCTGATAAAGGACTTATATTCAGAATATAAAAATCTCTTATAAGACAAATAGTCAAAAAAAATATGGGCAAAAGATTTGCATATATTTTTCCAAAGAAGATATATGAATGGCCAATAAGCCCATGAAAATATACTCGACATCATTAGCCATGAGGGAAATGAAAATTAAAACCACAATGAGGTACCATTTCATACCCAGTAGAATGGCTATAATTGATAAAACAGACAATAACAAATGATGGCAAGGATGTAGAGAAACACAAAGACTCTTAGACTGCTAGTTAGAATGTAAAATTTCCACGTTGGAAAATGGTCTAACAATTTTTCAAAAAGTTAAACTTCAATTTACCAAACAATTCAGCAGTTCCATTCCTAGGTCTCTAACCAAGAAAAACATGCCCCCCCGAAGACCTGCACACAAATATTCACAACAGCATTATTCGATAACCCAAATGTCCATCAACTGGTGAATGGACAAACAAAACATGGTATAGCCATACAATAGATTGTTACTTGGCAATAAAAAGAAATGAAGTACTGATTCATGCTATAACATGGATGAACCTTGAAAACATTATGCTAAGTAAAAGAAGCCAGACACAAAAGACCACATATTGTATGATTCCACTTAAATTAAATGCCCAAAAATGCAAATCTGTAGGGACAGAAAGTAGATTAGCTGTTGCCTGGGACTTGGGTAGGAATGAGGATTAATTGCAAATTGGCACAAGGGATCTTACTGGGGTGATGAAAATGTTCTACAACTGGATTATGGTGATGGTTGGACAACTCAGTAAATTTACTAAAAATCACTGAATTACAAACTTAAAATGGGCAAATTAGACTATGTAAACTATACCTCAATTAGGTTGGTTTAAAAAAGGAAAAAAAAAATGCCCCCAACACTATCACCTCCTCCCTTCCCTGCAATGAACCACCATCTTTTTCTTCTCCTTCCAGAAAAATTAGGGTGCTAGCCAATTTGATACAAGTATTCCAGGTCTACCTCAAACCTACTGAATTTCCGTGAGTGAGGTCCTGGCATTAGTTTAAAATAAACAAAACTTCTGTAATTCTGATGTTCACCACGTGGTTAAGAATCTCTGCTATAAACTATCTCCCCACTATGGTAACCTATCTCCTCCACAAAAATAGTGAATTTCCAGTGAGAGAAACAAACTCTAGCTAGCTCCCTCACTTCTATCTAATTGTCTGACTGACAGTAGTAGTTTGTGGCAAGGCTGGTACCAACACACAATATCAGAACCGGGAAGCAACAAAACAAAGAAACCAAATGGGACATTTAGTCCTCTCTCTGACAACCACCAAATGTCAACAGAAATGTATATTAAGGAAACAGAAGAATCTCTTGGCAGATAGGTTCTATTTACTTAATATTGAAACCCAATCGTCAAATTTTATTTTAATCTTTGCAATCAGAGATAATTTTAATCTCTGATTCAAACACTCTTTACCCATTTCTCTTAGTTCTATGTTTCTGGTTTGTTCTATTGACAAACAAATTGACAGCTGCTTTAGACCTTGGAAAGCCAACAATACACATCACTTATATATTTATTCATACACAGACTGCGTGTTAAACTTTTTGAGTAACAAAATTACACTGTGGCTAATATGTAAGAAATATTATTTAACAAGAGGCCACTATAGGCTGGAGTTAAAGACAAATGACTATTAGGTAAATGATGTAAGGTAAACTTTAGGTTACGGCACTTTAAACTTTATTAAGGAAATGCCTATACGTGACAAAGCTACTGCATCTGGAGCACAGCTATCCAGACATGCTTTAAATATAAGAATTCTGGACTATGTCTACAAATAAAAAGTGTTTTCTTCATATTACAGAGTGAAAGCAATACATACATTTGTGAAAAACAGAACACTCCTACAGTATTTACATGAGAAAGGATTAATATCTGTACCATACTAAGGATAACATAAATTAGTAAGAAAAACCTTAAGAGTCAAATAGATAAAATAGGATTTTTATAAGAAATGTAATTAACAATTATCAGAAAATATTCGTGTTCACTAATTATCAAAACTACCAAACGTTTTATTATTTTTTAAAATATTTATTTGGCTGCACCGGGTCTTAGTTGCGGCACGCAGGATCTTCATTGCCACACTCGGGATCTTCGTTGCTGTGTGCAGGATCTTTAGTTGCAGCATGAGGGATCTAGTTCCCTAACCAAGGATCAAACCTGGGCCCCCTGCATTGGGAGCGCAGTCTTAACCACTGGACCACCAGGGAAGCCCCACTACCAAACATTTTAAAACATTTTATTAAAATATTAAATCTTCCAAAAATATTAAGTAGCTGATGCTTGCAAGGCTATAGTATAGTTGTTATATAACTATTTTAGAGAGCTGTTGGCTATATAGGAAGTTATCTAAAACAAGAATTTGAAGCATAATGCGTAGTGGTTTGTAGAAAATAAAGAATGCAGATGTAAGCTTTTATCTATAGAATGGGTAAACAACAAGGTCCTACTATGTAGCACAAAGAACTGTATTCAATATCCTGGGATAAACCACAATGGAAAAGAATATTAAAAATGTGTATATATGTATAACTGAATCACTTTGCTGTACAGCAGAAATTAACACAACGTTGTAAATCAACTATACTTCAAAAAAAAATATTAAAACTAAAAAAATAAGAATTTGATACAAAGACATTTATTAACATTCTATTAATAAAAGATTAGAAACAAAGGTTTAACTTTGTTAAATGGAAGTTTTAATAAATTGTGCATCAAAAATATAAAGCTTGTAGCAATATGTTAAAATGTTTATGATTGATTTATCAAGTGAATAAAGCAGAAATGTGGATCTATAATCTACAGCTTCTACTATTTGCTAAGAGAGTCAAAGATAGTAGTTCCTATCCTTATGAAGGACAGGCAAGGTAAGAGAGAAGGCAAGACAAGACAGAAGGCAAGACAGACAAGAAGACGGACAATCCAAATACAGTATGATAAGGGTTCTGACAGAGGCCCATAAGATGTTACAGGTGTACATGCAAGGACAATTGTCTTACACAAGTGGAAGAGAAGATACAGAGATGAGTTCTAAAAAATAAACAATTAACTAGTTGGAGGAGAGGATAGGAAGAGAAAAAAAAGAAACTCTAGGTTTAGAGAACAACATGCATATGCAAAGCCATGAAGTAAGAGCCAGTCACACTCAAAGAATTGTCAGAAGCTCCATGTGGAGGGAAAGTAAAGAGAGGGAGTAGCAAGTAATGGTAAGCAGAGCTTGGGCCAGCTCAGGAAGAACATAAAAGGCCAGGCAAAAGAATCTAGATTTTATCCTGAAAGGAACACAAGAATACTGAAGCGTTCTAAAGCCAAGGTACAACATGGTGAGATTTATGTTTTAAAATGTCCATTTTGGAGACGTCCCTGGTGGTGCAGTGGTTAAAAATCCACCTGCCAATGTAGGGGATGTGGGTTCAACCCCTGGTCCGGGAAGATCCCACATGCCATAGAGCAACTAAGCCCATGAGCCACAACTACTGAGCCTGTGCCCTAGGCCCAACGCCACAGCTACTGAGCCCACATGCCACAACTACTGAAGCCCACGTGCCGCAACTACTGAGCCCACGTGCTGCAACTACTGAAGCCTGCATGACTACAGCCTATGTTCCGCAACAGGAGAAACCACTGCAGTGAGAAGCCCGTGCACCGCAACGAAGAGTAGCCCCCACTCGTCACAACTAGAAAAAGCCCCTGCACAGCAATGAAGACCCAATGCAGCCAAAAAAAAAAAGACATAAAATGTCTATTTTGGCCAGCAGTCACATCAGTGCTGCCTAAAGTAGAGTGTAGGGTAGTCCTAACTACAAAGTGGCATGAGAGAACTTTTGGGGGCAATGGAAATTTTTTTTATCTTTTGGTATACATTTGTTGAAACTCAAACTGTGGGCTTAAAACATATGTAAATTATAACTCAAAATTTGATTCAAAAAATATTTTTAAAATAATCACTCTGGAAGCAGAATGAAGAATGGATCAGAGGGGAATGAGATGGAGAGAGATGAATTAGGGTGTTTCTGAAATAATCTAGGCAAGAACTGACAAAGGCTAGAACTGAGGTTTTAGGGAAGTGGAGGATAGAATACTTGAACAATATTAAAAAGATAGTAAAATTAATCAACAGAATGACTGAACACAGAAGGTTAGGACAGAGAAAAGAGTTAGGGCTGACTTCAGGTTTCAAGTTCGGGTGACTAGGTGATAATAAGGAGAAAGAACAAGTTTTCATGGAGGATGGTAATGAGCTCCATTTTAAATATGTTGAGTTTGGCAGGAGACACACCCAGAGAGAAACCCTGTAGGCAGATGGATGCATACACAGGCCAAGAGATATGGTTTGGGGAGTCAACATCATGGTGGTTGCTGACGGCAACAATTACATCCGAGTGTTGTGTGTTAGATTAGGATGGAAGGGAACATTGAGAAATGAAGAGTTAATCTGATGAAATGGTTCAGCA